TGTATCCATCATCCCTATACCCTGGATCCAGGTCCCTCCAGGCGGGATCCTCCCTCCTTGGATACGAACTCGGAAGTATGGGATCCGGGGTACCTCGCGGTGGATCTTGACTCTTCATTAGCCGTGGCTACTAGATCCACCGTCAGAGGGCACCGACCATCCTTCCTTCATAGGATCCACACTCGATCCACTCTTGTATAGTATATCCCATATCCATCTTAGTGAATCCAGGTAAGGGTGGATCCGAGGTAAGTCTTGGTGGATCTTGCCTTCTCGTACATCGCTCATATCAGATCCATCGTCATTCCATACGGGGTGCTGCTCGCCATGGCTAATCCACCACAGGCAACTTGCACCCGTGCCAAACAACCCAAATCCTCTATAATCACTTGAAATTGTCACTGATTCGGGATAGTGACCCCGCGTCAGGACCATTCTCTTATTTCTGAGAAAGCACTTCACCACAATCGCCTCCTGTACGTGGTCGGCGCTGCACAACAGCGTCCACGACGTGCATCACCAGCATCCACAACCGCTTTCTCCCCTTCGCGACACATGTCTCCCGCCAAGCGTACCGGCAAATCGTCGGGCAAGGTCCCATCCACCACACCTCCGGTCAGTCCGACTTCCATGTCGCCCACCGATCTGCGGGTTCTAGCCCAGGCTCTTTCCGATCAGGTGCAAACCCTGACGGCGGAGCTCCAGACGGCTCAAGATGCCCAAGACCAAGCTGCGTCTCTACACACTACCCAACTTCAGACCTTGCGGGCCCAAATCCATGACCAAGCGATGGAGATCCAGGGGTGGGAGCACCGTGCGGCCTCTCGGTCGCAGGACCTGCGACTCCTGTTGGCTGATCAGGCGGTCGAGATCCGCGACCTGACCGGACGGCTGGATCGCGCCTCCCGTCAACGAGACGTTATGCGAGATGACAACGACCATCTCCTTAGGGAGATGGCACTCGCCGGATCTGAGATCCACCAACTCCAATCCCGGGATCCACAACCTCGAGCGAGATCTGGAGGATTCCCAGACTGCTGGGGCAGCTGCAGATGCGAGCTTGGACCGTCTCCGTGACGAGTTGCGTCTGACCCAGGAGGAGGTGGTGACCAACGACTATGTGGGATCCACCCATGGCGGATTTGCCTTAGTGTCGGCGCGTGGAGGGTCCCCCGCGCCAAATCCACCTCCCTCATCGCCGGATGTAGCCCTGGCTCAACTCTCTGAGGAATTGCAAGACACCAAGGAGTCGCTCGAGAAAGCGTCTGCCGGACGAGATTACGCGCTCGAAGAATTCGTGCGTATGACTCGATTGCGCGACGAGATCCAAGCGAAACTGGCGGACAGCGAACTCTAGCGGGACAAGGCGGCTACCGAGTGGGCGGATGCCAAGCGTGCACAAACAGAGCTGGAATCCAAGCTTCGCCGCACGAGTACGTGGATCCTCTTTTAGTCCTTGCTAGTAACCCCATATTCACTCGTTATTGTCAATCCAGGTGACGAATTGAAAGAAGCCGATGCGACCGCCGCGAAACTCCGGGATCAACTCGCTGCAGCCCAAACTCAGCAGCAAGAGCTGGTCCTGGAGCGCGATCGTGGCTTATCGGAGCGGGATTTGGCACGTCGACGACTGGCGCTGGTGACAGCTGCCGTTTCGGATCCCCTTCCTCCCTTGTCGGGGCCATCTCATGCTGCTAGCGTCTCTGCTCCACTTCCGACTGTAAGTGGGGCGGATTCGTCGGCTGCGAAACGCCCGCGTAGTGCATCTCCCGCTCCTAGCACCGGATCCTCCCGTCCCCATAAGCAGGCCCGAGCTTCTCCGAAAGCCAAGCCTAAACGACTCCGGTCTCTAAATCGGCTCCGCAAGCGGGATCCACTTCTGTGTCCAAGGCGGGATCCACGTCCGCGTCCAAGACTTCCTCCTCCACCTCGAAGTCGGGTGCCGGATCCAAGTCTGGATCCACCGCTAGATCCCAGTCTACCTTGGCGTCCAAGACTGGATCTGACACTACGTCCAAGTCTGGCTCCGGGCCCAAGACTGGGTCTACGGCGTCCAAGACCGGATCCGTTGTCCCATCCAAAACGGGAGTGGGATCCAAGGCTGGATCCACTGTGGCTACGTCAAAATCTGGATCCGGACCCAAGACTGGGTCTACGGCGTCCAAGACTGGATCCGTTGCCCCATCCAAAACAGGATCAGCGGTGTCCAAGTCCGGATCGACGGCCAAAACGGGATCTACGGCAGTATCAAAATCGGGATCGGCGTCCACGACGAGATCCACCGCTGGTCCCTTCGGTAACGACGCCCATCGTTCCTCAGTCTGCTTCCACCAACCCTCCGCCGGCCCGTACTGGACCCGGGAAGGGGAAAGCTAAACGCGTCATTCCCCCTGGGTGTGGACTGGGTAGTTCGGAGGACGATGAGGATGAGGACTCTGACTGGTCCGACGGCTCAGGGCCTCCTAACCGATCGTCGTCAAAGCGTACGCCGTCTGCCGGCCCGTATCCCTTTACTCTAAGCGATGAGGACGATGACGACGACGACGATGACGACGAGAGTCCAGAGGATTCAGAGGAGGCTCAAGCCGCTGAGGATGCCTTGGAGGAAGACACGCGGCGAGCTCTATCCCAATCCCGATCCGAAGCCCGGCGGAGATCCCTCTCGACGCCGCCTCCACAAGTCGCTGGCACAGCCGGATCCGGAGGCGCCACTGCGGGATCTGCGATCCACGTCGACAGTGACGGTGGATCGGGCAGTGATGGTGGGGGGGGGTCGCCTCGTGGTGGCGGACTCCTTGGATCTGGCGGAGGGGGTGCGCCTGGTGGCGGATCTTCCGGATCTGGTGGAGGGGGGTCGCCTCATGGTGGTGGATCTCCAGGATCGCCCCATGGTGGCGGTTCCCCAGGATCGCCTCATGGTGGCGGATCCCCGGGATCGCCTCACGGTGGCGGATCCCCTGGATCTGCCTTGATCCCCGCTCCCCCTAACTCGTCACTGCCAGGGATGCTCCCCGTGGCTCCGTTCGGTCCGGATGCTGCTTTCATTCCTGGTAGACGTGCTCCGGTGGCCTTCGCTGCCAGAGACATCGAGCCTTGGTCAGCCAAGAAATTGAACCGAGTTGCGATCATCTCCATGAAGATCACGGTTCTGTTTCCGGAGTTGCCTTTTCGGGCTGAGTGGATATTCCCTCGGACAGCGGACGCCATCCCGAGGGCCGGGTACGTGGATTCGCTCATCACCAGACCCCTCGTGGAGGAACTGACAAGTGCTGCCCCGTGGGATACCCTGGTCACCACACCGGTGGATCCGGTTAGCTTCAGGGGTGATGTGCGTGGGCGACTTGGGGTATTCGTTCGGGCGTTCCGGGATTTCGCCTCCAAGCACCGGGTTGCTATATGGGAGGGCACTCACCGGTTCCCCATCTCTCGGAATCAATTGCAGGGTTCGACCTGGTTGTCCAACTTCAACAAGCAGCATGGTAACCGGCGTAGCCATGCGGGCCGAGCTTGGAAGAGAGTCCTTGTGATCCTCGTGTTAGCAATCCAGGACGGTTGGTGTGACGTGGATATTTTGCTGGATCCATCCTTCTTGCATCTACCCCGACGCGGGGATAAGGTAGCTTGGTTTCCGGGATCCGTATCCCGTCAAGCCAACTTGGAGGATCCCAACCTCCATCGCCCAGAGCCCACGAGCCTATTGGAAGCCTTGCGAGAGATCGACGAAGCCGAGCCTTGGCGCATCCAGTTTCGCGGGGACCTGAGCCAACACCCAGGACGCCAGATCCAGCGTCTAGTGGGCAAGTTCTTCAATGTTCAGCCCAAGACTACCTGATCCTCATCACTCTTCGACACCACGCCCCAGTTTCCGTCTTCGTGGATTCCTTTCGTAGCAGTAACTAGCGACTGGATACTGGGTCGAGCTAGCCTTTCGCATAAGCTATTACAATCCACACTTTCTTACTTGAATATGCTTACAACATTCCTTCGTCGGTTGAGAAATCTAGTCCACCCTTTCAGTGTACACCTGGATCTGGGCTAGATCCACCCTTTCAGTGTACACCTGGATCTGGGCTGGATCCACCCTTTCAGCGTACACCTGGATCTGGGCTGGATCCACCCTTTCAGCGTACACCTGGATCTGGGCTGGATCCACCCTTTCAGCGTACACCTGGATCTGGGCTGGATCCACCCTTTCAGTGTACACCTGGATCTGGGCTGGATCCACCCTTTCAGCGTACACCTGGATCTGGGCTAGGTCTGCGCCTGGATCCAAACTCAGCAGCAACAGCTGATCCTGGAGCGCGATCGCGGCCTGTCGGAGCGCGATTTGGCACGTCGACGACTGGCGCTGGTGACAGCTGCCGTCTCGGATCCACTTCCTCCCTTGTCGGGGCCCTCTCAGGCTGCTAGCGTTTCTGCTCCTCTTCCGACGGTAAGTGGGGCGGATTCGTCGACTGCGAAACGCCCGCGTAGTACATCTCCCGCTCCTAGCACCGGATCCTCCCGTCCCCATAAGCAGGCCCGAGCTTCCCCGAAAGCCAAGCCCAAAACGAATCCGGTTTCTAAATCTGCTCCGCAAG